AAATGGTTTTTTGGGGGGGGGGGTTTAATAAAAAAGGATTTTGGGTAAGGTTTTTGAAATGGTTTTTGGGGAAAGGGGGTTTTTTTTTTTTTTTGGGGGGGGAGGGGGTGGTTTTGGGGGTTTTTTGTTTGTGGGGGGGGGGGGTTTTTTTTTGGGTTTTTGTGGGGTTTTTGGGGGGGTTTTTTTTTTTTTGTTTGGGTTTTGGGGGGGGGGGGGGGGGGGAGGGGGGGCGGCGCCCGTCTGTTTGCTGCTCGCACTGCTTGCTTGCTTGCTTGTCTCATAAACCTGTGTATTGCAGTGAGTCATTTGACGCACGTTGTGTGGACCACCAGGCTAAAAGGGCGCGTGTACCTGGCTTTGTACACACATATGTACCCGACTTCAATTCAATTAACAGTTTTCACGACCGTCAACTCGTTTATTGCCTACACGTCCAGCCTCTTGGCTTTGTTATCACGGCCATCACCGGGTCCCCGTCTTTACGGACACGGATCTCGTCGCTCTTCGCGGGGAGGTCTGTTGGTCAAGGCGGGCGGATCCCGCCTACGTACTCACGGCTTGAGAAATCAGTGCAATTGGTCCGCACGTGCCCCCCATGTAGGAGTGGTTGCAATCCGGCAATCCAGCCCCTGACACATGTCCCTAGGAAATTTCTGGGTGATGCTTGTAGATGCACGAGGGCGAATTCGTTGAAACCGGCGCAAAGCACTTGCTCATTTTTGTGATATCTACTATCTATTGAAGCTGAAATCAAACCATTGGACTACCGGTAGTCAGCCGCTGACGTTTCTAATGGGTCGATGTCGGCCTCGATGATATACTAGTTAGTTGAAGGGTCCGAATGACTAGACTCCGAGGAGGCATGATCTCCCCTCTCGCCTATCTTGTAAAGAACCCGAAATCAAACCATTAGACTACTTTAGACTACCGTAGTCTAAGTGGTTTTTTACTTGGGCTTCTTCTACGTACCGGTGCTCTCTCTCCAACAACCGGTGCTATATACCATCGTGCTGACGGCGACCTGTTCCAAAGAAGTGCGCCTTGATACAACCTACTCTGTTTTTTTCCTCGCCTCTCACCTCACCCTACGCTGTTTTCCTACCAACACCGATAACACATTTCCGTTTCCAGCGGGGTGCCTGGGGGCGACACCGCCGGAGGAAGTCTCATAGAGGACGAGGAGTCCTTCCAGCCCCTCAATGGTCACGACTACGCCAAGCCGGAGCCGTTGGCGCGCGCCCCTAAGAACGTGTTCGTTTTCCGCGGCAAGCAGCAGCAGGTGTTGGGGTGGCGCAACGTTTTCGACCTCCCCATCCAGTACGATGTGGAGCTGTGTCCTGGCCTGCTGTCGCGGGAGTCGGCGACGCTGTCGAACCGTTTCCGGCCGGAGGACGGGCCTCGCCGCCGCTTCGTCGTTATCGGTGAGAGAGAGACAGACACGGCGAGAGACCAGGGGAGGGAGGGGGGGCGGGGGGGGGAGAGATAGATAGAGATATATATATAGATATATATATAGAGAGAGAGAGACACACACACGCACACACACATGCCGCCCCCTCACGGGGTCCCAGTTAATGGCATTTAGAAGTGTTGTTGGTTTTCACCCGCACTGAGACTGACGTATTTTCATTGGTTAACCGGTTAGCGCGCTCGATGCTAATAATAAAAAACACACAAATACAGACGGAGACAGAGAAGGGGGGATGGGGGGGAGAGAGACACACAGAGAGACAGAGTGGGAAGAGAGAGACACACCCAGGGAAAGGGAGAGAGAGGAGGAGGGGGGGGGGGGGGGAGAGGAGGCGGACCAAGGTTTAGCCAACTGAGCCCGTCTTGTGCAGCGCTTTCTGGTACGATTCTTGGTGTTTTGTGGCGCGATGCGGTTCTCTGCATGTTGCGTTGGAACTGTGTCCCCTTTCCTAACTCATTGCGTTGAACG